CAAAATATGAGTATGCTCATCTCAAGTGCTGAACGTTGTTTAGCAACGTCCCATATATGATTCGATGCAGAATTAAATGGGCTACAAAATGATGTATAAATGTTTTTGGCAATCGATTTCTGATCTAGGTATTTGATCAAAATACTGAAAAAACCATGAAATCGTATATGCAAAAAAAACAGTGTTTTTTGACTTTTTGTCTTCAATATCGAGGTTGAGGAGAAATGCCATATATGCCATTTTGTAGAGCAAGTCAAGCTCTATCGATTGGTATACGACTCAATTTGAACCGTCGAAACATTTGAAGGAAAAAATTCAGCGAAACTAAAAGTTGAATTTTTTGCATTTTTGGATGGTATTTTTTAGGGTATGTCAGGTTCATCGGTTCTAGCCAACCATAGGCAGATCTTTAGACCGCAATGTTTTAGACTTATATATGGTACACTAAGGCCTAAATTCCTATGAGGTGAGATTCAAAATCGGTTGACCCCTATGTTTTTCGATACATGGAATTTTTTGATTTTCTCATGGAACGTCTCTTAATGATCGCTTAAACATCCATTATGTAATGGTTTACCTTTTACAATTAATTTTTGTTGATCTATTGTAATATTTAATTGTTTTGAAAGGCGAGATTTTATTTCTTGAATTATATCAACTGGAGAAACCTAGATATTGTTTGTTTGTTTTTTTCTTTTTGTATTACAATAACTAAATAAAAAAGAAATATTTAAATAGATACTTCTAATTGAATTTCAATTACTCCTGGACTATTTAGTTGTTTAATATAAATAAGCGTCTACAAATGAGTGCAAATATACGTTTTATTTAGATTTTCTCTTACACACACAGATATATGTAAATATATACGTATATGAAACTTATCTTTACTAAAACATAGAACTCTATATAAACAAGAAAAACGCACATTAATTCATATCTCAAAACAATTTAGATGAATATATACACGCATTGTTTGAGATTCAATAAATACAATGAAGAAAAAAAAAAAGAAAAATGAATCATATGAAAGAATTTTTATCACAAATTTCATGACGAAAAAGTTTGTTTTAATAAGAGAATCGGTGAGAAAAAGAAAAATAATAATAATTATCTATCTAAACCAAAATATTTATTCTTATTCGTCAATTTGTGATAATGGTGATGCAACATTTTCAGTAGTAGATTGTCGTTGTCGTTTAGCAGCGCGTCTTGCTATACGTGAATTACTATGTGTAAGAAGATTTATATTTTCATCGTCATCAGCATCAGCTCGACGTTGAGCATGATTTGCAGCAGCAACTATAGATGAATAATAAAAATAAAAATAAAAAAGATCAAAATTTATTTAAATTCAACTCACTTTCAATCTAAAATAAATGAAAAAAAAAAATTAAATATGAAAATTCTTTTATTTTTTTTGTATTTTTTACATACTCGCATTTGTTCACAATTTTCAGAATCAAGCATTGAACGTATATCAATTGGTGTTTCAGGTACTGTACCAATTAACCATGAACATCGAAGAATCCAATCAATAGTAACACGTGCATCTGGATCAACTGTTAACATTTTTTCTATAAGTGATTTAGCTTCTTGTGAAACATTTTTCCATTCAGCTTTTGGAAATTTATATTCGCCAGCTTTAATTTTTGATTTCATTCCAGCACTAATCGTACCACCATGAGCAGAAAAGAATGGTGGATAACCACATAAAAGAATATACATTATAACACCCATTGACCAAATATCACATGCCTTTATATTTAAGAAAATTAGATTAAATGAATAATTTTAAAAAAATTAATTTGTTTTGTTTTTTTTACTTTATCATATTTATTATTGGACAAGATTTCTGGTGCAACATAATATGGAGTATAACTAAAAAAGAAAAAAAGGAGAAAGAAATTTCAAATTTTTGAATAGAATTGTTTCAGATCAATTAGAATGTATGATAATGATCTTTAAATGATCAAATTTTACTAGACAAAACGCTTAAATTGAAAATTTCTTTTGTCCTGTATAACAGATTTAAGATCACAAAGTTTTTGTTATCTTACCATGGTGTCATCAATGGAAGTTTTTCATTATTGCCTATAATATAAAAAGCAAAAAAATATAAATCAAATCTTATCATAAGTCTTTTCTTTTTTTATTATTTTACCTTCTTTAGCAAATCCAAAATCTGTTAATTTAAGTAAAGCACCTTCAGAAGTATTTGAAAAAAGTAAATTTTCTGGTTTAAGATCACCTAATGGAAATATTTATTTGATTTTATTTTTCAAAATTAAAATAACTTACGATGAGCCTAAATAAAATTAAAAAAAAAAACGATTAAAATATTAAAATAAAATCTTTTCTTACTGTATCCATACGATGTAAATGTGCAACAGCTTTAGCAATCATTAGAATAATATTAGCTGCTTCTCGTTCTGTATATGGTTTATCACGTCTATTGCGAATACGATTAAATAATTCTCCACCTTCCATACTACATAGAACAAAAAACAACAAAATTAACTCATTTAAATTTTTAAAAAAAAATCATGAGTTAATACAAACCATTCCATAACAATATACAAACATCGATTTGATTCAAACATATTTTCCTATATTGAAAAAAATGAATATCGAAAATTTTCGAAACAAAAAACAAAAATCTTTGACATACATAAACATCAAGTATTTGAACAATATAAACGCATCCTTCACTAGCTTTTTTATGTAAAATAACTTCACGTCGAGCTTTATCTGAATCCTTTATGATCTAAAATTAAAACATATTTTAAAGTAAAAAGAACACATATTTCAATTAATTTACTTTAAGAGCACATTTACGTTTGGTTGCACGATGCCAACATGTCAAAACTTTACCATTTATACCAACACCTAATGATTCTTCAGATAAATCATATTCATTTGTTATATCATTACGACGTGTTGGAAATGGAAATTGACGATATTTTTCCGAAATACCTTCTGGCCTAATATAAACATATTCAATTAATTTTTTATTAAAATAATCAAAAGAAAAAAAAAACTAAAATTATATAGTTAAAAACGCTTTTTATACTTACACTGGAGCATTGAAATCAATAGGTTTTATACCAGGAACCTTTCGCTTCTGTTGCTGCTGTGCATTTGATTTTTCATTTTTAGTGGTAGAAGGGGGAGCACGATTTTCTTTCTTATGTCTTCGAAATAAATCACGTAATCCCATGTTTATAAGAAAAAGTTTACTCTCTACAAATGACTAATCTATTTCTGAAAATAAGAAAAATAAGATAAAATATAAAAACAATGAACAAAACTAATAAATTCCATGTTTCTTTTCTTACTGGGTATTTATACGTTACACTGTACTAATCGCTCTCATAAGATTTTTCTTTTTCACCGTCGTTATATATACATATATATATATATATATGTGCACGTGCATATATAAATATAGACGAGCAACGAACTTCGCCTACTGTACTGTTAGTATGCTCTGGATTACCATAATGCATATAAATTTTCGTTTTTTTGCTCGTTTTATTGTCGATTATCTATCTTACCTAGTGACGTGTTTTGTATACTATTATTATCATGCCTACCTTAGTCATATTTGCACTAGTTGATAGTCTCTTTACTGTGTTCTACAAATATTATCATTTTAAATTAAAAATAAACGGAAGATATGAATGTCTTACTTAATTTTTATATCTATATATCAAAAGAACAGGTTTTTACCGGTTTTCTTAAGCTAAAGTCAACATGACTCATACGTATCAATGACGTTAAAGAATATGACTAAGATGAATAAAATTCGAGGAAGGATATATATATACATATATATATATATATTGCAGTATAAATTAAAATCCAATAGAATTTAAAATTCTACTAGTAGAAAATGAAATTTCAATTTCTAGAGCAACATTTATATATATTTTAGTCAGCAGCAACAGTAGCAACATCGCCTTTTTTTATATGTAATCAACATAGTGAATAATCTTGATCTGCATATAAACCTTTTTGAAATGTTACACTTACTTTTGCCTTAATGATGGTTTCATGTGTGTCATATTTAAGCAAGATCAATTCGGAAGAGAAATGAAAATCTAAAACCAAAAAACAAATACTATTATAATACAGGTACTCCCCCAAGACGGGTTTTTTCCGACGGTCATGTACTATTTTTATAATATGATTTATTGGTTTTTTCAGAATGAAAAAAAAAATACCTAAGTAACATAAAAATCATCGAAAAGGAAAAACGGAACAAACATTATGATGACGAATCGACGAACGAATAGACATGAGCAATTTTTTGTTTTTATTAGTTTTAATCAAGGTTCCTATAAATAAATTTTCATATTTTTACATAGGAATAGTAATTATTCAAAATGATTGATAAGATTAACATAAAATATCGATCATTATCATAAGAACAAAAAAGTTAACGAAAAAAAATTATCTATTACACTGACAGCGCTTTTTTTGTATTAGTCATTTTTAACCAATCATGATATATTTTCAATCACTGTTTTTCTTTTATCTAAATATTTTATATTATTTCATTGAATTCAAATGAAATATATTAATTTATTATTCTTTTTCGATAGTTTCAGAAATAGAAACGATTTCGTTAATGTTCAAATAAGATCAAGTTGGAAAGTATCGATTCTGAATTCTACAAATTTAATAATATATCGTGCATATATAAAAAGCAAAATTATAATATACAGTGACATTCTCATCTTTAAGTTCTTCAAGATCAACGATCGAACTATCAAGATGTTGTTATTTTTTAAAAGTTATTAAAACTCATCATCGAGTTTGTTGTTTACATTAGGCTTTTTTTTTTGCTGATAAAACATATGGAGATTTGTTTTTTTTTCTTTCTTTCATTAGGAGTTTTCTTTCTTCAAATTGATGAAGTATTGTTTGAATTTTACAAGACAGAAAATTGATTGTTGTTGGATATAATTAATATTAGCAAAAAAGTATTTACCATGACTTTTTATATTGGAAGTTGGATTTGAGTTTTTTAAAAATCAAAAAAGAAAAAGAATCAATTTGGTATTATTGTTATTGATTCATTCGATTCTATCTTTGCTTTATACTAAAAAAATAGAGAGAGGTAAAATTAGAATAAACTTCGTTAGTCTTTATTAAAGTAAATAATTTCTTAGTTATCAAATATTTTTCTTTAATTAGATTTAACAGAATCTTTAAAATTACCTCATGAAATCATTTTTTATCAAATTATATTCTAGATTTACTTATAAATCATAAACTTGTATTAAGTAAAAGCATTTGACCTCATTAAAATTTAATAAAAACTATTCAAAAATTAATCATTATATTTTTCACACAGTTGCTTATGCATTCATATCGACACGATACGAAAAAGTGAAAATACTGTACTGTACCAGTACTTCAGCGTATTTCAAGAGTATATCAAATTGAGTTCATTCTATAGAAATCTTTGCGATAATAAGATAGACTTATAAACAATGAACTAAAACTGATATGCTTGTAATACGCGTTGATAGTAGACTTCATATAGCTACGAACATCTCGACAATAGCTTTGACATACGTTTGAAGTATGGAATTTTCACTTTTACCTTCCTTGCATCCGAGTGATACTGTTGGTTTTCTTCTTTATAGTCTTGTAGAGTGAGCATAATTGATTTTAAATGATGACATCTATACTTTATTTTTATATGATACTAAATTAAAAGAACTTGTTGATCAACTTGATACGAATTATTATACAACTGAACAATTATTGTAATGCTTTTGCTTGAAAAATAAATATCTACAAAAATATGAATGTGTATTTGTAATTTTTGTTCTTTGTTTTTTAGAAATTCAAATCTATGACAATTATTGAATAAATTTCATACATCTCTCTATCATAAATAGATTATAGATCTTGATTAAATTATATCGAAAATAGATTGAAGCTCTTAGCTATTTGGGAGTATATTGAAAAAAAAAGACATTTTATTTTCCGACAATAATTGCAAATATCTTTCATTGAATTAAATTTAGTTCCGATAGAAAATTCTAAAATTTCTACAAATAATATCATCAATTTTTGTTTTAACTAACTTCATATGAATGAAAAACAACAGCTACAATCCAAGAAAGAACAATAAAATAAATAGTTATATGAGGGGAAAAAAAAGTCTCATCAAATTATTATATTGTACTTTTTAGATATTCAACAAAACAATGTCCGCGATAGATACTTTTTTCTTTTCGAAAAGAAAAGATTGTGTATGAATTAGTTTGATAACTAACAAAAGAATGATGGATGATCATTGATATAAATTTGAAAAGAAATGAGTGATATTAAAGATATCTATTCATCATGTGCATAAATCCTTTTATCAACTATCTTTAAAAACAAACACTTCTTTCATGCAATGCATGTATTTCAATGAATTGTTTATAAAGATTTCATATCGTATGCAAAAAAAAAAAGAAAAATATCTTTCGTGATACCGTTCTTATTAAATTCATTGTTTTTAACAATGTCACAGTTTTGAAATTGTCTTTTTTTTTTTTGACATTAAGTAACATATTCAATTTGTCAAGAATAGAAGTTTTCTTTCTTTCTTTTTTTTTCTAAGGAGACTCTTCTCAATCAGATAAAAGAAAGCTAATTAATTTTTCAATTTTCTATTCCCATCTGCTTTTTATTTCGTTGTTCATTTCGATATTATCTCAAGGTAATATCATACATATAAATCTTGTCGCATAAGCTAATTGCATCTGACAGAAAGAGTAACAGCATTCATCGATGTGTATTTTATGTATAGAAGGAAACGCCCTATTCAATCTGTGTCTGTTTCTGACAACGTATTGAATATCGCTCGACAGATCACCGAATGTCTGCTGCTTGTCAACTGTTTATTATGGCTTCCTGCGTTGATTCATCGTTTATTTTCTTTTTTATTTTACAGTTAGTCAAAAGTGCCATATATACCATGATGAATCGAGATCAAAGAAGACACCTTCTATATATATATATACATATGAAAACGTATTATGGTGAGTGAAATCTAAATCGTCATCTCAATGGATATGTCTCGTCCATCAAAAAGAAAAAAATATAGTCATCGACATATTGTCATCTCTTCTTAATAACTATCATGTCCATTTGAATATCAATTTAGTGCGGCTCCATTTACTTTCTATATGTGAGATGTTAATCAATGTAGACTCTTCATATATGTATATACATATATATGCTTTGGCGATTAGCAATCAACAAAGAAGTAAAGCTTTCTTTCTTTGTTGACGCAAGCTCATAGAAGCGGCAAAAACGAGTAGGATATGTAAACATTGATGATTTTCTTTTTATGTAATGAACATTCATCTTCTTAGCAGTCTTATTTAAACATACATACATACATATATATATATACATATTGAAAGACGTTTGTTTAAGGATATATATTGAAATTTGACACTCAAAATTCATGTTTTTGTTCATTAGTCATTTGAGTAAAGAAGACTAAAGTTCATTAGATATGACAAAAATTTATCTGATAAGAGGAAACAGATTTCAATCATAACTTCTATTAATCCAATATGAAACCTTATTTATTCATAATCAAATCAGTCAGATAGAAAATGGTACATTCTTCGTATGACCGAATGAAGGTATTAGCGGCTTATACTTAAAAAAGAAAAAGAAAAAGAAAAAGCTCATTATTATTACTTTTTCTTTCCAACAGGGGTCAAATATCCGGTGATTGTAGTAATGCAAACATCACCTCAACCGAGACATGTTCGAAACAATCAAGCAACAAAATAGTATGACATCGAGCTTGCTGCTTATTTTTCATCTTTATTAAACACACATACACACACACACACACACAAGCACACATATTCTATTTAACAAGAAAAAAAAAAATAAGAAACTTCGTTGATATATGAAACAAAGAGAAAGCAAATAAAGAGACAACAACGAATGTTTATCTCGACAATATGATCAATAGACATCCAGCCGAATGGCATCATCACTGGAATACTTAAAAAAAAAAAACAATGAGAATAGTTTATGTCCAATAATTCATATATACCTGAGAATAAGAGAGAAAGATAAGTTATGCTATTATCACAGTCATTTGGCATCTTTGTTGAATAATATTATTCAGAAGTAAGCCGCCATAAATAGAAGAATATATAATGTCATCATCTGGTATTTAGTATT